AGAGGAGACTGGTTTTCCTTTGCTAAAGTAAGGAAACTTTGCTTCCTTTGATCCTGTAAACAAACGTTGGTTTTCACGAGACTCACCGGTGCATGCGCAGCACTGACCTCATACGTCATGCTCCCGGAACTGCTTCTGTGTACAACTGCTGGCGCAAGCTAGATTAAAGTGATTATTACGTTTTGAATATGGATATTTTTCTTACAAAAACGCATCGATTCGTTACAGGAGGCCTTTGTTCACCCCCCGGAGCTGCGTGAGACACTTTTTTTTATTCATGGGTGCTTTTTATTTAACTTCTTTTGGACTGAAGTAATGCAACAACCGCTGACTGCAATGATAGAGCTTGAAAGATCAAAGACAATTTTTAATATAACTCTGACTGGATCCGTCTGAAAGAAGAAAGTCATATACACCTAGGATGCCTCGGGGGTGAGTAAAACACAGCCTAATTTTCATTTTTGGGTGAACTAACCCTTTAAAATGAGCTCCTTCAATGCAAGTCTGTGGGAACTTTAATGTTGTTTTATTATCCACCAAGTGAAAATCATGAAGCTGATTGCTTCAAAAAGTATTAGCAGTCCTCTCCGCAAAATGTCATAATTTGAGGTAACATTCATGTCCATACTGTAGCACAATGTGGAACAACTCGAGCGCCAGACTTTACTACTTGCAGTTGGGTGCTTGTTTAAATCCCTAACCCTTAGTATGAGCAATGCTTGAACAAACACCACTAATAAGTAGATTAACTGGTCGCTGCCATGCTATTGAGTCTGGCAGTCAATTTGGAATGACTTCACAATGAATACAGAAGATATTTTACACTGTTGTTTTTATTTTGATGCAATGTGGGCACATTGAAATCTTATGCCATATCTACTATCAAAATCAAAAACAGAGATACAATACAATCATTTTATGTTTTGCTTAGCACAAATATGTCACACACCTTTTATGAACACCCACATAGTTATATGAGCAAAGAAGAGAAGAAGAAAATAATTTGAATTCAAGGCATCACAGTTGTCTCAAAATCATTCCGATTTATTCTGTCAAAGGTTTGATACTCCCTAGTCTAGGCCAGTGGAACTGCTTGTGTAGTAAACAGTCATATTATCCATCACATGACAATACTTTAATCCCACCATCGTGGCCAGGGTATGTAAGTATGCAAAATATGCTTCTCAGCACAAAATTCACCCTGAGAGGAGTGCTGTAAATTTGTATTGTCCTATAGTTCACCCAAAAACAGAAATTCTGTCATTATTTTCTCAACTTAATGTAATTTTTATCCTGTTTGCAGTTATTTTTTTCCTGCAGAACCCAAAACTAATATCTGTAGAAACTCTTTGATTTTAATTTTGTGGGAAAGACCTGCATTCTAAGATTAAAAAAAGTTGAGTAAATGACAACACATACAGTTGTGAAAAAGACACAATTTTCATTTATGGATGAACTTTACCTTTAAAATATGACTAGACTGCTCTCAATTGTTAGCTTACTCTAAATGCCATTTCCCAGTGGAATGGCACAAAGAAAACACCCAAAACCTCTGAATTTCCTTAAGAAACTAGCATTGTTCATTTCATCACAAGGATCAGTGGATCTGTGTAGAAATCTCAGAGGAACGTTTGCTTTAGCTGTAAGCAGCAGGATTATTTTTGCATTCGTCAGCTATGCTGACAGAAATTACAATGCAGATTTCTTTGATAAATTTCAGAGGCTTGTGAAAGCAACTTACAGGATTCTTGAGGGGAATTTCTATAGTTTGAGATCTCTTTCACCCAGAGAGCTGAAACATTCTTCTATAGCCTGCTCTGAGACCTCAGACAGGGTAGAAGGTTTCCACTTTGGACTCTGGTCTTTATCGATTAGCACTGCAAGTAGAGAGGGGAAAAATCTGTCAGTTATGCACTGAATTTTCTCTGGGGTTGTTCTGGGAAAAAACTGGTTAGGTGAGTGGACCTGGCTAAGAAAATTGCATGAGTGCAGAAGCACATTAATTTGAGGTAAAACCCTATAAATAACCTTTATAATAACAGACTAATTACAGACATTACTAATTACTAATAACAGACATTATATCATTCTTAACATCAACAATGTACAGACATGTAATTTAACCTTTACTCACATATTTTTTTTTCCATATGCATTCATACAGAATTTTAATGATAATGACTAATAATGATAATTTTAAAGATAATGACTAATAATGATAATGAAAATTTCAATTGAGTTCCAGAATTTGAATTTAACTAAGGAAGTAAACAGGATGTGGAGCTGTAATTTGAATTTAAAATGGAACGTGATTCAAAGAAACAACTAATCTCCAATGTTGTTTTATCATAGACACATCATATGGGATATTTCCAGATATATTAGATCAATGCTCAAATTTGATAGAAATGTGTATGTAATGTGTAAATGTTAAATTTAATAAATTACAAACTTCATTTTATGGATTATTGCAGCAGAACACTATACTTCCTAAATTGCTTTAAATTACACAATTTTGAATGTCTTTGAAAATGACTCTTCAAGGTTACATATAAGGTTACATATTCACCAACTCTTTAACACCAACATCTAATTTGATACATCTTATATATACAGTTTATCAATAGGAACTAATATGTGAATTTTTCGAAGAAAATGTGCATCTTACCTGCTCTGACTCCCTCATAAAAATCGTGGCCTCTCTGCAAAGCAAGAGTAAAAACTCATGAAACAAATTACACAAATATTTCCCATAAATGAATAACTGGTATGTGAAAAATGTGCCAACACAGCTTTAAGCTGATTTGATTTGGGTAATGAAATGATAAAGCACTGCATTTACAGATAATTGCATTACATACCATACAGGCCTGACTGAGTCTATACTCCATCACCAAAACCTCCTGCAAACTCATTCTCGCTCCTTCCTGAATCTGCCGGAAAGTTAACTTCAGAGAGGTTGGGGACATTTTGGACAGAGTCTGTAAAATCCAATACAAAAACCCAAATTTAATAATGACAATAATAGCAGTAATAATAGCAATTTAAATATCTGACTGTATTAACAAAGTATAATCTTTTTATTTTACAACATGAAAGCCAACAGAGATCATATCAATTTGTGTGGCAGTAATGAAAATGGATTGAAAAATGCAATTTAAGTTTAAAAAAAGAAAAGAAGTTAATCTGAACTAGACAGATTAACTGTCAGATTAACTGTCTAGCAGCTAAAGTTATGATTTTAGATTCATTTAAAATTTTTAGTTTTAGTTTTAGATTTGATCAATGACCTTGAAAGACCCCTAGATTTTTGCTGAATTTTTCACAAAAATTAACAGAAACTGTAGAAATGTGTTGTTTTGGGTGAACAAAGTCTTCATTTTAAAATTTTCTGTGAACAGTTGACTATCTCTCAATCAATCAATCAATCAATCAATCAATCAATTAAAAACAAAACATAAAATAAAATAATGTGAGAAGACATTAAAAACTGTCCACACATAACCAAAATGTACGAACAGGGAGGTTACACAAGGGTAATAGCCAAGTGTATTGTTGATAAAAGAGGCCCCACATAAGCAGAGGACCAGTCCATAAACAGCCTTGTGTTTAGAGAGAACCTTACATGACCTGTTTGGTCATAAAACCTCACATTCAATTCAAACGGCATGTTCTGTTTATATCACCGTCACTTTGTATAATACAGTATAATGAGGTATTGTGATTATTTATATTGTAACTTTGTTTAGGTCACGAAAGGACAAAAGCAGGAAACAGAATTTCACTCAAAAAATAACAGTCCACACATACACTGAGCAACAGCATCTGTAAATATTCAACAATAAAACGTCACTATGTCAAACATCAATTTCCTTTCTACAGCTCACTCTAAACAAAGTGATGCATGGCAAAGTAGCGCTATGGGAGGAAAAACAGAATGGCTTTGAAATACTAATGAGGTATAATATGATTCAGGGCCCATTACGCAATAGAAGAGAGGGTTTGCATGCAGCAGAGAGCATGCAGACCTCAAATGAGAAGCCATATGCGCTCATTCTGTTTATCTCGCCAAATATCCCAGAAACCATCACACGCTTTACCCAGCTGCAGGAACAGGACATGGAAACACACTCCTGTATGAAGAACAATAAACCAAACCTTGCTACGACCTTCCCTACTGCCATGTCATTTTATGAGGTTCATAAAAACATCACTTGCACTTGGGAGTTAGAATGAATAAACAGCTTGCCTTAACGCAGGGACAAAATATAAGATATAATCTTACTTTTTTATATAAACAAAGCAAAATGATATTTAAAGTACTAGCTGCTTGATATTAATTTGATTTGTGTTTACACTATACCATTCAAAAGTTGGGGATCAAAAAGTTTTTTTTATGTTTTTTTAAAGTCTCTTGTACTCATTAAGGCTGCATTTATTTAAACAAAAATACAGTAAAAACAGTAATATTGTGATATAATATTACAATTTAAAATAAGGGTTTTCTATTTGAATATACTTTAAAAAATAATTTATTCTTGTGGTGGCAAAGCTGAAATTTCATCAGCCATTACTAGTCTTCAGTTTCACACGATTCTTCAAAAATCATTCTAATATGCTTATTTATTATCAATGCTGTGCTGCTTAATATTTTTATTGGAACTTGAGATACTTTTTTTTAGGATTCTTTGATGAATAAAAAGTTAAAAAGAAATGTAATTTATTCACAATAGAAATATTTTGTAATCATATAAATCTTTTCTATCACTATTAATTTAACATATCCCTGCTGAATAAAAGTATTAATTTATTTCCTAAATATATAAATAATACTGATCTGTCTGTTCTTCCCTTATTTCGGTTCTGTTTACACTTACCATGTGCTTCTGTGTCATCGTGGTGTCCGTCCCCGTCCTCTTGTTGTTCCATTAATTATATTATTATTGGCCCACGCCATCACCTGCTCTGCATTATGTTAATCACTCCTTCCCTATTTAGTCTCCTCGTGTGTGCTGTCTTGTGTCAGATCGTTGTTTTGTGCTCTGTGCAATCTTTGCTCCGACCCCGTCTTGTCTCGAGTTTTTGGCTGTGCAGATACCTTGCCAGTTTTGTTTTCATCTTTTAGTTTTAGTTTTTTCCCTCTCCCTCCTGCTTCCAGGCAGCGTTTAACCTCCTCCAGCTCAGCAGTTACCCAGCAGGGCATTCTCTTGGGCCAGCATGCCTCCCAGCTAACATCCACGTCCCGGGAGGTCGAGTTCCTAAATGCTCAGTTGTCTGATCTGACTGCCCAGCTCCATGAACTTTGCAGTGAGACTTCAGCTAATAGAGCGGAGGACACCGCTGGCTTTTCCTCTCTCCGTCATGACCCTGAGCCTCATGCTAACAACCCACCTCCCTATGACGGGAACCCCAACTCCTACAGAGCCTTCCTGTCTCAGTGCTCCCTGGTCTTTGCTCTTCAGCCTCGCCGGTACGCCGGAGACTAAAGTGGCTTATGTTTTAACCCTCCTAACAGGCAGGGCCCGTGACTGGGGAATGTCTGTGTGGGAGGCCTGGGCTCCCTTTTGTGCTTCTTTTGAGGACTTTCGGCAGGAGATGGTCAAGTTATTTGATCGTTCTGCTCGGGGTGATGAGGCGGCAGCCCAGCTGGCACGGCTACGTCAAGGAGGCCGTTCAATGACTGAGTTCGCCATTGAGTTCAAGAACTTAACAGCGGCCTGTGACTGGAATGAGGGGTCTTGTAGAGCTGTATTCCGTGCTGGACTGGATGAGTAGATCCAAGATGAGATTGCTTCCTATGAGCTTCCACACGGCTTTGATGATCTTGTTGACTTGGCCCTCCATGTGGAGAGTCGCCTTCACCTTCGTCGCCAACGATCGACTGCCCGCACCTCTTGGAGGATGGGAGAAATGACCAGCAACTCCATCTCTGTCTTGCCTCCGCCTTCTCCTGCTGACCCTGAACCTATGCAGGTGGGACGCCTGCGTCTCACTTCTCAGCAGAAACAAGAGAGACTCACCCGGGGCTTATGCTTCTACTGTGGGAAGGCCGGACACTTTGTCAGCAAATGCCCGCTAAAAGTCAGGGCTCATCAGTAGCCAGGGGGATCCTGGTGGGCGCATCTCCCCTTAATTTCCCCCACTCTTCCCACACCCTTCTTCCTGTGAGTGTTCAGTTTGGAGGTTCCAGTCACTCCTGTTTGGCCCTGGTGGATTCGGGGGCTGGTGGTAATTTCATGGACACCGGCCTGGCTGAGCAGTGGGGAATCCCTGCCATCCCCCTCTCTACTTCTACTATCTCTGTTCGGCCTCTTGATGATTCTCCTATCACCACCATCACTCACCTCACCCCCCCTGTAAGTCTTACTGTCTCTGGCAATCACCATGAGATAGCCGAGCTGTACCTTCTAGATTCCCTGAGTGCCCCAGTGGTTCTAGGGCACCCGTGGTTGGTGCAGCACGGTCCTCACGTGGATTGGGCCAGAAATTCAGTTTTGTCTTGGAAACAGTCTTGTTTTAAGTCTTGTTTGGGTTCTGCCTCTTTTCCTGGCGCTGTGTTTCCTGTTGTGCAGGTGGAGGAGGCTGATCTGCCCGGGGTTCCGGAGGAGTACCGCGATCTTCGGCAGGTTTTCAGCAAGTTCCGGGCCATGTCCCTGCCTCCTCACCGGTCGTATGATTGTGCCATCAACCTCCTCCCAAGCACCTTCTCCGCCCAAGGGTCACTTATATTCCGTCTGGTCCAGAAAGAGAGGCTATGGACAAATATATTCAAGAGTCCCTAGATGCCGGTCTCGTCCATCCCTCCTCATCTCCAGCTGGTGCAGGATTCTTCTTTGTTAAGAAGAAGGATGGCTCCTTGCGCCCTTGTATTGATTACAGAGGTTTGAATGACATTACCATTAAGAATAGGTACCCCCTGCCCTTAATGTCATCTGCCTTTGAACTTCTGCAGGGAGCCAAGCTCTTCAGTAAGTTGGACCTCCGCAATGCTTATCATCTGGTTCGGATTCGAGAGGGGGATGAGTGGAAGACAGCATTCATCACTCCTTCGGGACACTATGAGTACCGGGTGCTACCTTTTGGCCTGACAAATACCCCAGCTGTCTTCTAGGCCCTGGTCAACAACGAGTTGAGAGACATGGTTAACAAGTTTGTCTTTGTGTACCTTGATGACATTCTAATCTTTTCTCCCTCGCTTCAGGTACACACTAATCAAAGCAGATCCCACTAAGGTAAGGGCCGTAGCCGAGAGGCCACCTCCAGACTCACGCAAGGCTCTGCAGCGGTTTCTGGGATTTGCCAACTTCTACCGGCGCTTCATCCGAAACTTTAGTCAGGTTGACCTTGACAGCCCTTGACAGCTCTTACCTCTACTAAGGTACCGTTTAGGTGGAATTCGAAAGCTCAGGGGGTCTTTGATGACCTCAAGTCCCGATTCATTTCTGCTCCTGCTCTTTCGTTTCCAGACCCTGAATGTCAGTTTATTGTGGAGGTGGATGCTTCCGAGATTGGAGTAGGTGCGGTCCTTTCTCAGCAGTCCCCTAGAGATGGGAAGGTACATCCCTGTGCCTACTACTCTCACCGCCTGAGCCCAGCAGAACGGAATTATGACGTAGGGAATCGGGAGCTGTTGGCGGTCAGGCTGGCCTTGGGTGAGTGGCGTCACTGGTTGGAGGGATCAGCACAGCCCTTCTTGGTCTGGACGGACCATAAGAATTTGGAATATATCCGTTCGGCCAAGATGTTGAGTTCACGCCAAGCCCGATGGGCACTCTTCTTTGGCTGGTTCAAGATGTCTCGTATCGTCCAGGCTCCAAAAATGTAAAACCCGATGCCCTCTCCAGTCTTTTCAGGGATACGGGGAGGATGGGGGCGTCGGTTGAAACCATTATCCCTAAAGAAATTGTGGTGGGGTCCCTCTCCTGGGATGTGGAGGAGAGTACTGGAGGCCATACGAGAGAGAGAGGTGCCAAGAGGGTGCCCAGAGGGTAGACGTTTTGTGCCGGTTGTGTTGCGCCCTGAAGTCCTCCAGTGGGGGCATTCATCTAAGATGTGGAGGAGAGTACTGGAGGCCATACGAGAGAGAGAGGTGCCAAGAGGGTAGACTTTTTGTGCCGGCTGTGTTGTGCCCTGAAGTCCTCCAGTGGGGGCATTCATCTAAGTTAGTCTGTCATCCAGGGGTTCGGAGATCACTGGCCACCATCCGCCAGCGATTCTGGTGGCCATCCATGGTCCAGGATGTCAGGCAGTTTGTGTTTGCCTGCTCGGTTTGCGCCCAGAACAAGAGTTCTAATCAGCCTCCTGTTGGTCTGCTTCACCCTTTGCCCATCCCCTCCCGCCCCTGGTCACACATAGCCCTTGACTTTGTCACTGGTTTTCCGCCATCGAGGGGTAACACCGTAGTATTGATGGTGGTGGACCGCTTCTCTAAGGCAGCCCATTTCATCCCCCTTCCCAAATTGCCTTCAGCCAAGGAGACTGCTCAAGTGGTGGTTGATCACATCTTCCGGATTCATGGCCTTCCAGTGGATGTGGTCTCCGATAGGGGGCCAAAGTTTGTCTCCTGGTTCTGGAAAGAGTTCTGTCTGGCAGATCGGGGCCTCTATGAGTCTGTCGTCAGGTTTTCACCCTCAGACCAATGGGCAGTCTGAGTGGGCAAACCAGGATCTGGAACAAGTTCTCCGCTGCCTGACGTCCCATAATCCGAGTTCTTGGAGCCAACAGTTATCCTGGATTGTGTATGCCCACAACTCCTTGCCAGTGGCTGCCACAGGTATGTCCCCATTTCAATGCTCCATTGGTTTTCAACCTCCTATGTTCCCCTCACAGAAGCCCGATGCTGCTGTTCTGTCGGCCTTAGCCTTTGTCTGCCGGTGTCGCCGCACCTGGAAGAAGGCTGAGGAAGCCTTGGCTCTGGTTTTCAAACGAACTAAAGCAGCGGCTGACCGTCACCGAATTCCTGCTCCCGCTACGTATGTGGTCAGAGAGTATGGCTGTCAACCAAGGACCTTCCTCTCTGGGTGGCCTCTCGCAAGTTAGCCCCCAGGTTCATGGGGCCATATCAGATCACCAAAGTGTTGAGTCCAGTGGTGGTAAAGCTCAAATTACCTTCCACACTTGGTCGGGTACACCTAGTCTTTCATGTTTCTCGGGTTAAGCCTGTGTTTCATTCTCGCCTTAACTCATCTGCTTCTGCCCCTACCTCTCCCCCTCCCCATCTAGTGGATGGTTCCCCAGCCTTCACTGTCAGAAGGTTGCTGGATGTCAGACGTTGAGGTCGGGGATTTCAGTATCTTGTGGACTGGGAGAGATACGGTCCGGAGGAGGTGGAGTTGGGTCCCGGCTTGGGATATTCTGGATCGGTCGCTGATCGAGGACTTCTACCGGCAGAGTGGAAGGTCCTTCCCTGGAGTGCCAGGGGACGCTCCTGGGGAGGGGGGTAATGTCACGCCCCCGGCTGATCTGTCTGTTCTTCCCTTATTTCGGTTGTGTGTTGTTGTGTTTACACTTACCATGTGCTTCTGTGTCATCGTGGTGTCCGTCCCCGCCCTCTTGTTGTTCAATTAATTATCTTATTACTGGCCCCCGCCATCACCTGCTTTGCATTATGTTAATCACTCCTTCCCTATTTAGCCTCCTTATGTGTGCTGTCTTGTGTCAGATCGTTGTTTTGTGCTCCGTGCAATCTTTGCTCCGACCCCGTCTTGTCTCGAGTTTTTGGCTGTGCTGATACCTTGCCAGTTTTGTTTTCATCTTTTAGTTTTAGTTTTGTCCCTCTCCCTCCTGCTTCCAGGCAGCGTTTAACCTCCTCCAGCTCTACCCACGTTCGCGATCTCCGATTGCTGTTTCCTCTGTCTCAGCTCTTCTTCGCCTCCCCGCCAGTACGCCACCAGCTCCCCGCCTCTCTGTCAGTTTGTCACGGTCTTGCTTTGATGGATCTTCCCTTTGGAATTTGTTGTCCAGGAGGCACTATTGGATCTGTTCCTGGCTGCTCTGTGCCTGGATTGTTTTTTGTTGTTTCTTTTTTGTTTTTTGAACTTCAAGACTGTTTAATAAATTGACTTTTGGCACCTGCAAACTGAGTCCACGTCTCGCAGTGACATTATTAGAAAAAATGACCATTTGAATTTGGAGTTTCCCTGCATGTTAACTTGCTCTGCTAATTAATGGAATAATTCATCCAAAAAGTGAAATATAAAAATACTGTCATAATTTATTCACCTCATATTGTCCCAAACCTGTATAATTTTTTTTGTAGTACACAAAAGGGCCATTAAGGTCATATTCTTTTCAATATAATGATAGTGAATGAGGACTAGGGTTGTAAAATTTCAAAGTGATAAAAAACAACAGAAATATCTAAACAGCTTTGTGTGAGGACAAGACTGAAATTTTTAATCACAACAATTTTCGCTTTTGGGTCAATTTATTTTTTAAAATATGTTTAATCACTATCCCTGGACGCACCTCAGTCTGTTTGAGAGCAAAAGCAGAGCCATCTTTCTTAAGGTTTTCCATGATCTCCTCCACACTTCCAGCTGAAAAGAGCCTGAAACAATAGAACAATAACAAAAATTACAGGGCCAGTCCTGCAAACACAAACACGTATGCAAACCCCATCTGTGGAAGTTTTTCGGCATCATGCTCAAGCAGTCAAGCCAAATTAGTCATCAGATTTAATCCTGGGACAGCAAATTAGTGCAGCATCAACTGGCGTTATGTAAGGCTCATATGCAATGCAGAGTCAAACGCCACAAAAACAGGTAAACAAGGGGTGTATAGGCTCACGGCAGTTTGTTCCACTAAACGCTCAAACACCTGGAAGGGAAGACATAAAGACAACATCGCACACGCTCTGGTCATGGTGGAATCTGAGTTTTGGAGCATGTCCAATGTTTATCAAACTGATCATTTCAGGTCTTTGATCAACAAACCCAACTTTTTCCAACTTTTCCCTGCACATGGAATTATGGGCCTTTCAGAGTGCCATAAATTGCTGGAAGCTTCCAAGTTTTACCAGCACCTGAAGGCTGGTGTCTAAAGCTTATCCAATGAAACAGACATAAAGCCAGAAGTGTAACTAATCGGTTTCAAATGTGTGAAGTCTACTCATATTAGGCCAACACTGCTCCTGCAGATGATTTAGAGTCGCAGTTTCCACACTGTCACGTCATAGTATGCAAATACACAATTATTGTGCCACTGCCATTCATACTTAAATAATACAGGTTAAATACAATGCTGATTTATACTGGGGCTGGGAGATATAGCTAAAAACATAGACTACCGTTCAAAAGTTTGTGGTCATCACAGTTTTTTTTTTTGGAAGGAAATTATAATGTATTGTTTATCAAGGATGCATTAAATTGATCAAAAGTTAAGTCAAGTCAAGTCATCTTTATTTATATAGCTCTTTTAACAATACAGATTGTGCAACTGTACAGCATTAATTAGGAAAATATTGTGTCAATAATGCAAAATGATAATAGTAAACACTCAATTTTCAGTTAAAGGCAGTTCATCATTGAATTCAGTGATGTCATCATCCCACTCAGTTCAGTTCAATGTCAAAAGTAATGGTAAAGACATTTATACTGATACAAAAGGTTTCTATTTCAAATAAATGCTGTTCTTTTGAACTCTATTCATCAAGGACTATTTAAAAAAAACATCACTTGTGAAGTAGCAAAGAAGTATTACTTGGTCATATTTTATCAATTTAATGCGCTCTTGCTGAATAGTAGTGTCATGGATTTCACAAAAATATTAAGCAGTACAATTGTTAATGATAAAAATGTTTATTAATCATCAAATCGGTATTTTAGAATGATTTCTGAAGGATCGAGTGATGAAAAAAGGTAGTGTACATCAAAAACAAATTGCACAGTATAGTCATTTAAATGACAGATATTTTGTATCAATTAAGTTTTGTCCTCTGTATGCTTTTTCAGTAAACTGAATTATCAACAGTTAACCTACAATTCTGATTATGAATTATTGTGGGTTGTTCCAGAATCTCATGAGAAAGAATTGAAATGCAATGGTGAACCAAATAATAATAAAAAATAAAGTATAAAAATATTCACACTGAGGCTTAATTATAAATGTTTGATCATTTTGACACAGTTGTTAAAACAGAAGAAAAACATGTAGTGCACTTACACTGGAAGTCTATAGGGCAAGTGTAATGAATGTTTTAAAGCACATAAATTCTTGTTCTTCAAAAAGGTGTCAATTGTCCCTTTGCAGGGAGTTTGATTGTCAGGCGATCTGAACAATCATAACGCCGAATCCATTTTTGTCCAACAAACAAACCAGACAGTTGAGTAGTTTAACATCAGTGGACCTGGGGCCTCATGTATAAAACTTTACGTAGATTTCATCCTAAATGTGTGCGTATGCACAAAAGCTAGATTTTGCGTACGTACAAAAGTTTTCAGATTTATAAAGCCATGCGTATGCCAGAACCTGCGAAAAATTCCCTTTGTAACATCCAGTCAGCGGAAGATTGTGCGTACATGCATCTCCACCCCGTCTCCTCCCCGAAATAGCCATATATGGAGCTTACAACGCCTAGGTTAAATATGTATAATGTAATCTGCATATCATTTCCATGCATATTCCATCCACGTGACACCATGTTTAACGCAGTTAAGAGTACAATACGTTAGGAAAATATGAGATATGTACTATAAATGCTTTTTGAGACATCACATTGCTATTCAAATTTATGCAATTTTGCCTATAAAGTAAACATATATTTTAGAATGTTAGCCTATATTTGAATGGAGATAGACCTTATTTTTTTGCAGTGTAAATAATTGCCTGACTCACCTCGTCAATAACAAAGCATTTTGAAAATAATACGTGCATATCTTACAGCCAATGGACTGTTTGATCAACGAGTGCATCCTTATGTCTGTCGTTACTGTCTATGTTCCAAATCCATCAGACGAATCAAGTTCACATCAGTGATCATTATTCACGCAAATGTATTTTCTCAGAACATGAGTTTTGCTATTTAGAACACAATTTAAAGCAGAATTGTCATGCACCAAGCAATCCTCACTGTGATTAAAAGATGAAATCGCATACCACAGAAAAATTGTTCGAAAGCAGCACATACACTACAAATATTTCTGTTTAAATTCATATAAAAATGTTGTAATTTCTAGATAATAATTTCATGAAATTTCAGTGCTTAACTTCATTATTAAGAGTGTCATATTTAATCTAAATGTGTATGTCAAATGTAAAGCAGACTTTAAAATCATTCTGTTTGCTTCATTATTTCGCTCACATTAAAAGAGTGCGTACGCATGGTCTAGAGTGTCCGTACGGTGCGCACATATTTACGCCTAGTTTATTTTTTATAAATCCCGATATGTGCGTGGAAAATTCCGTACGCACATTTCCATGCCCATTTTGTGCATACGCAACGTTTATACATCAGGCCCCTGAACTTGAAAAATAGTGTGTAATGATGTCTTTCCGCTGTCGAAACAAGATACCCTTTGATGCTTATTTCATGTTATAACTAGTAAAGAGGAAGAGATGATCGGTTCACGTGCCGCTTGAACTGAGGCGCTAAAGCGATCTGTAATGACACATTAAAGAGCCACAAAACGGCATTTATTGTTTGAATTTCTTAAAAAAAATAACAATTTGAAAGCTGCTACTTTGTTTCATATATGTGACCCTGGACCACAAAACCAGTCTTAAGTCGCTTGGGTATATTTTTAGCAATAGCCAAAAAAAACATTGTATGGTCAAAATTATAAATTTTTCTTTTATGCCAAAAATCATTAGTATATTAAGTAAAGATCATGTTCCATGAAGATATTTTGTAAATTTCCTACCATAAATATATCAAAACTTAATTATTGATTAGTAATATGCATTGCTAAGAACTTAATTTGGACAACTTTAAAGTCGATTTTCTCAGTATTTTGATTTTTTTGCACCCTCATATTCCAGATTTTCAAATAGCTGTATCTCGGTCAAATATTGTCCTATCCTAACAACCATACATCAATGTAAAGCTTATTTATTCAGCTTTCAGATGTACAAATTGACTTTCAAATTTACCCTTATGACTGGTTTTGTGGTCCAGGGTCTCATATGAAGTAACCTGCTCTTTCTTATCTGTCGGCGCATTGTCAGTTTCCTCTTTGCTCCACGATGTGTTTTGTATCATGGATGTATCATGATGTGTGGCGTGAGAGCGACATGGCTTGTCAGATGTAGCAACAGTAACGAAGGGGGGCAGGTCTATGTGAAGGAATTTACTTCAGCAATCATCACTAATAACCATACATGGCCATTTCAAAAGCAATATAAGACTGAAAATTATACTTAAAATCTAGCACCTAACCAAAGGTTAGTTTTCCATTTCAAGGGACAGCTTTAGATTCATTCTATTCTGGGTTAGGCATATGACAATAAAGCAAGGAGAGAAGAGCGTTTAGGTTTACCTGTCAATGGCCTCTGTCTGTTCTTGCAGTACGAAAGGTTTCTCAGCATCCAGACTGCTCTGAGGAGACATAACAGCAGTCTGTGTTTAAACATCAGCTGAAGCACATATACAGGGCTATATTTCAACCCAGACAGCTACAATCCTCAGCTGTCTGTGTGTGAGTATGTGTGAGGCCATTTTTGTCCTGTCAGACACCATGGCCGTGTCTGAAGCTGAAGAATAAGTGTAAGAACCATCTTCCGAAAACATTCAAAACTTTTGTCTGGTAGTGTCTGTGTGTGTGTGTTTATATATATATATATATATACCGGTGCATCTCAAAGAATTAGAATATCGTGAAAAAGTTATTATTTTTTTAAACTTATTTCAAAAAGTGAAACTTTCATATATTCTAGATTTATTACATGTAAAGTAAAACATTTCAAAAGTTTTTTTGTTTTAATTTTGATGCTTAGAGCTTACAGCTCATGAAAGTCAAAAATCCAGTATCTCAAAATATTAGAATATTTACATTTGAGGTTCATTAAATGACCATCCCTACAGTATAAATTCCGGGTATCTCTTGTTCTTTGAAACCACAATAATGGGGAAGACTGCTGACTTGGCAATGGTCCAGAAGACAATCATTGACACCCTCCACGAGGGTAAGTCACAGAAGGTCATTACTGAATGGGGTGGCTGTTCACAGAGTGCTGTATCAAAGCATACTAAATACCAAGTTGACTGGAAGGAAGAAAATGGGTAGGAAAAGGTGCACAAGCAACAGGGATGACCGTAAGCTTGAGAATACTATCAAACAAAGCCGTTTCAAACACTTAGGAGAACTTCACAAGGAGTGGACTGAAGCTGCAGTCAGTGCATCAAGAGTCATCACGCTCAGACGCCTTCAAGAAAAGGGCTACCAAGCCACTTCTGAAACAGAAACAATGTCAGAAGCATCTTACCTGGGCTAAGGAGAAAAAGAACTGGACTGTTGCTCAGTGGTCCAAAGTCCAATTTACATTTATCTTTTCAGATAAATGTAAATTTTGCATTTCATTTGGAAATCAAGGTCTGGAGTCTGGAGGAAGACTGGAGAGGCACAGAATCCAAGCTGCTTGAAGTCCAGTGTGAAGTTTACGAAAGTCAGTGATGATTTGGGGTGCCGTGCCGATTTTTTTTGCGTAACTTGTCAGTGAACTACGGCTATGTGTAGTAAATTCTGCTCCATCTGAAAGCACG